CAGGGGAACGGGGGGGTTCAGATTCGCTGTGGCCACTCATGTGCTGTGTGATTTTGGACAAGTCAGTCTCTGAACCTCAAATTCATCAGAAACGCAGGGGTGAGTACTAGCTGCTGTAGCACAGGGTTAAATGAGGGAGGTAATGTGCACAAATACATTGAAAAGTATCAGCTCAGCGCAGTGGCTCACACCTGTAATCCCAGCATTTTGGGAGGCTGAAGCCAGTGGATCACTTGAGACCAGGAATTTGAGAACAGCCTGACCAATATAGTGAAACCCCATCTCTATTAAAAATACAAAAATCAAACAGGCATGGTGCTGAATGCCTGTAGTCCCAGCTACTTGGGAGGTTGAGGCAGCAGGATTGTTTGAGCCCAGAAGGCCAAGGTCATAGTGAGCCAAGAACACACCACTTCTCTCCTGTACTCCTGAGTGACAGAGCGAGACTCTATCTCAAAAAAAAAAAAAAAAAAAAAGTAATGACGTTGATGTGCATCTTACATGAAAACTGCAGTTTCCACTCCTCTCAAAACCCCAGAGTATAGTGCATAGGGAAACAGAAAGCATTTGTGCTCCCAGGAGGAGACTGGCTGAGCAGGGAGGACATGATCAATAATACTGCCAGCTGAAAATAAGCATCAGTGTCACCAAAACGCTGCTTCCAAACCCCTGACGTTCTAGGTCCACCATTCTTCTGTCCCACCTCCCACCTCCCTACTTTACCTCTCTCTTTTTTTTTTTTTTTTTTTTTTTTTTTTTGTGAGACAAAGTCTCACTCTGTCCCCCAAGGCTGGAGTGCAGTGGCACGATCTCAGCTCACTGCAACCTTCACATCAAGGTTTAAGCAATTCTCCTGCCTCCCAGCAGTAGCTGGGATTATAGGTGCCTGCTACCATGCCTGGCTAATTTTCATATTTTTAGTTGAGACAGGGTTTCACCAGGTTGGCCAGGCTGGTCTTGAACTGCTGGCCTCAACTGATCTGCCCACCTTGGCCTCCCAAAGTGCTGGGATTACAAGCATGAGTCACTGCACCTGGCCTCTCCTCTCTATTTCTATGGCACCTATCACCATGGTATCCAGGTGCTCACATCAAATCTGTTTTTAAGTTCAAAACAGAGTCATACGTGGGAAGATGCATTTCTCTTCTGAAGCCTTATCGCCAAAGCTGAGCTTGAAGTAGAAGTGACAGGCAGAACTGACTCCTTGGAGGATGGAATCTTGAGATTTTATGTGGGAGCAGAAGAGAAGCAAGCACCAAATATCTATCAAATGCCCACAGAGTGAAACGCTGTAGTAGCTGCCTGGAGATTCAGAATAAGAGTCCCTGCTCCCGGCCTTCAGGACCTACAGCCTCTAAGGCAATAGCAGATTCTTCAAACATGCAACCAGCATAGGGCCATTAGAGCACATCACAGCTTGTTCTTGCCAAAAGGAGAGCTCATCTGCAGAACACAAGCTCAATTCAGGAGCACACTCTGTCCCATCTCATACTGCCCAGAGGCATCCTGAACTCACAGATAAAAGTCAGCACCATGCAGATGTATGAAGGGAAAGGGCGGAGTAACCGAGCAGACAGGGTTAAACATGCGAAGCTTGCTTCGAACAAGAGATGAGTCTTATATATCTACATGGAGGTCAGCCCAGTTTGAGGATTCACAAAAGTCTCAATCCAGAGAGAAGTCAGATCTTGGTTCTAGTTCCCTTTTCTTTTCTTTTCTTTTTTTTTTTTTTTTTTTTTTTTTTTGATACAGAGTTTCCACCTTGTTGCCCAGGCTATAGTGCAATGGTTCAATCTCAGCTCACGACAACCTCCACTTCCTGGGTTCAAGCAATTCTCCTGCCTCAGCCTCCCGAGTAGCTGGGATTACAGGCATGCGTCACCACGCCCAGCTAATTTTGTATTTTTAACAGAGACGGGGTTTCTCCATGTTGGTCAGAGTAATCTTGAACTCCCAATTTCAGGTGATCTGCCCTCCTTGGCCTCCCAAAGAGCTGGCATTACAGTTGTGAGCCACTGCGCCCAGCTCTAGCTGCTATTTTTTCACCACTTCACTAGGTAGGTGTCTTTAGATCTAAAATGATTATCACTTCTGTTAAAACTGGAGTTGTGGATCTTCAGATTTGGATAGCATTTTATCCATATTTCTTTCAGTTTTTTATTTATTTTTTGAGACCGGGTCTTGCCCTGTTGCCCAGGCTGGAATGCAGTGGCATAATCATAGATTACTGCAGCCTCAACCCCTGGGCTCAAGTAATCCTCCCACCTCAGCCTCCTGAGTAGCAAGGACTACAGGCATGCACTGTCATGCCTGGCTAATTTTTTTATTTTTTACTTTATAGAGACAGGGTCTTGCTATGTTGCTCAGGCTTGTCATGAACTCCTGGTGTCAAATGATCCTCCTGCCTCAGCCTCCCAAAGCATTGGGATTACAAGCCTGAGCCACCATGCCCAGCCATTGCCCCTATTTCTTGAACCACAAATTAGGATATGATTAGCCAAAATGTTGTTATGCTGTTTCCAAAAACAAAAGGCCTTCTGGGGATGTGGAATGAATATAGGCATATTGAAGATTCTGGAACATGCAGTTGTTCATAGACACAGTCATGGACAAAATCTTGAAAATAGGACTGTCCCAGAAAGCCTGTGGCCAAGGTTTGCAGGAATGCAGCCTCCCGAGCAGAATGTTCCTGCCCAGGGCACTGCCACATGGTCAGCAGCAATGTCTTGAATATCTCCAGGGGAGCTCATTTTCATATCGAGGCAAAAATCTGCTCCCTGGTAACTGATTTCTTTGTCTCAATTTTGCCCTTTAATCCCACATGGAATAAATATCTTCTTTTCCACAAATATTCTAAATATTCAAATAGAGATCAGCCCTTGAATGTCTTCTTTATTCTAAACCAAACACTCCTAGTTCCTTCTACTGTTTCTTGGTTCCCAGGCCTGTCATCCAGAACACCATTAACCAACTGTCTGCTAGTGGACTACACATCTTTCTAGGGAAATGGTTTGACCAGGCCAGCACATCCTTTAATCACTAGGGGAGGCTCAAGGATCCCTTAATCCACCCCAGTTGAGGCAGCTAGACCTAGGTAAGGTACAGCATCAGGCAACCGTTCTTTGGCCTCTTCCATTCTCCTGATTCGAATGGATATCCCTTGGAAGCACACACCTCTGGGCTTATCAGAAATACCTGAGCTGCCTTCTGAGTGGGAAGGGAACCTGCCTGCTAGCAGGCCTGAGGTGAGGCTGGGCAAAACACACAGTGAGTGGCTGGTCTAGAGATCTACTCTAGGCCTGGAAAGAAGTGCTATGGGTCCTTTACCCAAACAAGTAGAAATGTCAAACAATGGAGGCCACAAAGGCTTTCACCTGCCTTTGACCTGGACTTAGGTTGGTTTTTTTGTTTTTGTTTTTGTTTTGTTTTTGTTTTTGTTTTTGTTTTCAAGATGGAGTCTCACCCTGTCACCCAGGCTGGAGTACAGTGGCACAATCTTGGCTCACTGCAAACTCCACTTCCCAGGTTCAAACAATGCTCATGCCTCAACCTCACGAGTAGCCTGGGATTGTAGGCACTCGCCACCGCACCCAGCTAATTTTTGTATTTTTAGTAGAGACAGGTTTTCACCATGTTGACCAGGATGGTCTTGAACTCCTGACCTCGTGATCTGCCCACCTCAGCCTTTCAAAGTGCTAGGATTACAGGCGTGGGCCACCATGCCCAGCCTGCCTAAACTTCAGTTTAAAGGAGAAGGAGTGCTTGGAGCTCACCCAGGCATCAAGGCTGGCTAACACCTAGTCATCTCCATCTCCTTTCAACAGAGCAACAGCCAACAACCAAAAAAGAGCAAGTATTATACAATGAAATCATTACGTCCCTTGGCTTGGGTGCTGTGCTGCTATTAATACAAGCAAAATACTACATTTATCTTTGTAACCAGTTTTTGTATTGGTTCATACTGCAATGACTGATTACAAGGAAAAACTATTTCCTAAAAAAGTTAAGTCTAGATTTTCCAAGGTCCAGTGTCAGAAGGAGAAATCAAAACAGAAGGGATGACTATCCCTAACCTTCGGGCTGCCTCACTTCAGTTACCAAGTCAACAGCACACTGGCTCCCAGGGGCTACAGCTACTGTTACTGCTCTACTCTGCTTGGTCCATTCAGGCTTCTGTAACATGATAGCATAAACTGGGTAGCCTATAAACAACAGTAATCTATTTCTGGCCGTTCTGGGGGGTGAGAAGGTACAAGATCAAGGCATCGACAGTTTCAGTGTCTGGTGGTGGCCTGCTTTTTCACAGACAGCTGTCTCCTCCTCACCTCACATGGCAGCAGGGGCTAAGGATCTCTCTGGGGCTTCTCTTATAAGGGCACTAATCCCATTTGCCAGGGCTCTGTCTGCATGACCGAATCACCTCCCAAAAACTTTACTTCCTACACCATTGCCATTGAGGTTAGAATGGCAACATATGAATTTGGAAGGACACAAACTTTCAGATCATCGCATCTTCTAAGTGTGGACATCACTCCTTCACTCTCCCGTTGGTTTTTCTCTTGTCTCTGCCAAGGGCAAGTGGCTTTTCCAGCCAGGCAGTTGGTTCCAACATAGGTAATCTGTCCTCAGAGTTCACAAGCCCTAACCCAATTCGCTTACGATCTAAGAGGCCTCGGGGTCTGGCACAAGTCTGTAGGTGCCCTCCTCGGGTTCCTTGTTCCTACATGGAGGGCAGCAGCCTCCAGTCCAGCCCCCAGCAGTCCCCTCTTAGGCAATCTTGACATCCATAACCTAGACAAAGTGAGACCACCCACTCTGCGGCCTGCCCAAGTTTCACTGCTCAGATCTCAGGTGCAATTTTGAGAAATGGTTTTCTTCCTCAGTGGAGTGACCTAATCAGTGACCTCAGCCTTTACGGGGAGGCGTGCCCATACGCACAGTAACACAGTACTCACAAAGTCCACAAGAGCCTGGTCCAGGCCTTGGCCAGGGGCCCATCCATGGACTTGGGTGTTCGCTGCAGAATCTTCAGACAGATCTGGATGACGGGTGAGGCCCTGGCTTGGAGGGGCTGCCCTCCCTCTGCGGCATGGAAGCCCTGCTGCCTGAGACAGGAGGTGACTGCACCTCACGCGCAGCCTGCATGCTGCAAGACCCAGCAAAGCGCTTCCTCAGCTTGCAGCTGTGCAGACACTAGGAGAGGGAGCACGTTCCAGAGAGCGTTGCCTTCTTGGTCCGGCAGCAAATGCAGTCCCGCTGGCCCACCTGGTGCAGGTAAGAAGTTCCGTAGGCCGCCCAGATCTTCTTGGCAGGTTTATGGGAGACAGAAAGCGGTTCCCCGCCCCCTGCCCTGACGGGGCTGCACCTTCTGGAGCACTGCGAACGCTCTGCCCCCTGCCAGGCTCCCGAAATACTCTTCTGTCTCTGCAGTGGTGCCACCTTCCCCCAGCACCGGGGAGCAGCTCGGCAGGACGAGGCTCTGGGGGCCAGCGCACGTGTTCTTCACAAGCCTAAGGGGGCTGTCGTGAGGGGGGAAATGGCATATATGACGTCATTCCAGCTTTAATGCCCTTTCTGGAAAGAAGTGAGGCTATAAAGAAATAAGACATAGATTATGCGCATACATATGTGAAGGGTAAGTGCTTAGAAATGTTGAGTTCGTTTTAAAAGCTTTTAGGCAAAAGCACCCCCTTCTCAAGTTAATTCCCACTTGGTCAAAGGTGGGGCTCCGGGCTCCGAGGAGGCGCGGTCAGAGTGGGCGGTCTGGGCTGCGCGGACCGCGGGGGAGCCTCCTCGGTCTCCCATCTTAGCAGACAAGACCCTCCAGGCTAAGGTCCAAGGCCCATCTTCCTTGGGGTTGTCGTCGCCCCCCTCCTCCCCGCCACCCTGGGCTTTGGCTTAGTCCTCCACCACGCCCCGGGAGTGCGCGGAGCGGTCGCCGGTCCTGCCAGCGGGGGTCGCGTTCCCACCGCGAAGGCCCGGGCGGGCGCGCGCTGCTCGGGATCAGCTCCGGAGCTCCGGCCACCAGGTGGCGCCACACGGCTCCCTGCGCGCCGCTCCGAAGGTCGGGTCGCCGCGGCGCAGAGGACCCAAGACCGGGGTAACCGGTCACCCGAACCGACCCACTGCCCGCACTGCCGAGGCTCGGGCGCCACAGCTCGGTGCCCAGAGGCCCGCCCCGGGGCCAACCTGGAGAGGCAGCTTCAGCAAAATTGCCGGAGAGTTTGTTTCCACCCCACCCCTCACTCCCCAATCATTTCAAAAATTAAAATTAAACCGTGGGCTGAGCACGGTGGCTCACACCTGTAATCCCAGCACTTTGGAAGGCCGAGGTGGGCGGATCAGCTGAGATCCAGGTTTCGACCAGCCTGGCGAAACCCTGTCCCTATGAAAAATACAAAAATTAGCCAGGCTTGGCGGCGTGCACCTGTAATCCCAGCTACCAGGGAGGTTGAGGCAGAGGAATCGCTTGAACCCGAGAGGCGGAGGTTGCAGTGAGCCGAGATCACACCACAGCACTCCAGCCTGGGCAACAGAGCAAGACTCCGTCTCAAAAATAAAAAATAAAAAAATAAAAAAATTAAACTGTGATGGGGAATGTTGTTGGTGACAATACAGACCCTCATGAATAAGGTATCGAGGAGCATGAATTCTGGAGCCCAAATTGCAGTTCAAATCCTGCTTAATGACCTTGGGTGTGTTATTTAACCCCGCATAACCCCATTGCCTCATCTGCAAATGCAGATAATTTACTTAGAATTCACATCCTGAGTTGCTGACAAGAATTAAATAAGTTGATACACCATATATATGTATATGTGTGTTTTAAATATATATTTTATACATACACATGCATATAAATGTATGTAGATATGTTGTGTGTATATATAATCATATGCATCTATCATATATAAAATTATCTACATAAATATGCCTAGTACATAGCACCAATGTTAGCTATATTTTATATTGTTATGCAACTTCTATTATTAATTTTTCAAAACATTTTCACTCGAAAGACATTATTGGGGTTTGTTATTTATTTATTTATTTTGAGACGGAGTTTCCCTCTTGTTACCCATGCTGGAGAGCAATGGCTCGATCACGGCTCACTGCAACCTCCGCCTCCCGGCTTCAGGCGATTTTCTTGCCTCCGCCTCCTTAGTAGCTGGAATTATAGGCGCCAGCCACCACGCCCAGCTAATTTTTTGTATTTTTAGTATAGACAGGTTTTCACTATGTTGACCAGGCTGGTCTTAAACTCCTGACCTCAGGCAATCCACCTGCCTCAGCCTCCCAAAGTGCTGGGATTGCAGGCCTGAGCCACGGCTCCCAGCCTGTTATTTTTTTATATGGAAATTTTCAAACATTTACAAAAGTTGAGAAAACAGTATAATGAACCCACATGGGCACATCACCGAGTTTCAGTAATTAACACATTGTCAATTCTGTTTCATCTACACCCCAGGACCACACTCAGCTAGGCTATGTTAAAGCAAATCTGAGATTACATATAATTTCATTTGTAAATACTTGACAATTATGAAGTGTTTTTTTAAAGCTCAATGTTTATTTGATACTTCCTCCATGCACAGTATTATATTCTTCAGTCCATAGATTTCCCATGACACTGGAAATCTTGTCCAAACAAGCATTGGACACAGAAATTGAAATTGAATATTGAGTGTTATGAAAAATTTGGAGTTGTGATTCTTTGCCTGAAAAGCATTTCCACTTCTCAAGAGATGTGTTCTCCCTGAGGAAAGAAACACATTCAACCACTGGTTCTCTTCTAGTGAGAATCTACGGGGTGTTCTTTTATCTGCAGTGACACACCCCGGCTTGAATGATCACTCCAGGGAAGGAGATTTTTTGTAATTAGTCATATTCCTGCACTCAGAGAAGGATCTAATCCATTTTAAGAAGAAAACCGAGGCAGGAAGTGCCGGCGCCGCCACTGTGCGGCCACAGCCCTGTGCTCTTCGCTGTCGTTCGTCGTCTCGCGCAGGGCGGCCTCGGTTCTGGTGTTTGGCACCGTCTCCAGAATTAAACCACCACCATGTCGAGAAAAAGGCAAAGACCAAGACCACCAAGAAGCGCCCTCAGCGCGCAACATCCAACGTGTTTGCTATGTTTGACCAGTCACAGATTCAGGAGTTCAAAGAGGCCTTCAACATGATCGATCAGAACAGAGATGGTTTCATCGACAAGGAAGATTTGCATGATATGCTTGCTTCTCTAGGGAAGAATCCCACTGATGCATACCTTGATGCCATGATGAATGAGGCTCCTGGCCCCATCAATTTCACCATGTTCCTCACCATGTTTGGTGAGAAGTTAAATGGCACAGATCCTGAAGATGTCATCAGAAATGCTTTTGCTTGCTTTGATGAAGAAGCAACAGGCACCATTCAGGAAGATTACCTGAGAGAGTTGCTGACAACCATGGGGGATTGGTTTACGGATGAGGAAGTGGATGAGCTGTACAGAGAAGCGCCTATTGACAAAAAGGGGAACTTCAATTACATCGAGTTCACACGCATCCTGAAACACGGAGCAAAAGACAAAGATGACTGAAAGAACTTTAGCACCTTCCAATTACATTGTCTTACTCTGTTTTATTTCTCAGACACTTTCCCCACCTCATAGAACCTGTTGCATGCAACTTAGTTTCACAGCTTTGCCTCTTTTTTTTTTTGGTGTATTTATTCCAGACCTTTCTGCAACTTAGCACTTGTATAATCAGACTGGAAATGGGGATGAGGGTGTAAATTGTATTGAAAAAGAGATCGCGAATAAAAATCAACAAATGTGAAAGCCCAGGAAAAAAAAAAAAAAGAAGAAGAAGAAAACCACTTCTAGAAAAAGAAAGAAAGAAAGAGAAAAAGAAAAGAAAGAAAGAAAACCACTTCTCCAGACACTTGAAGGTTCTAGGATATATGGCCAATACTGCAGGGTAAACCACTGTCTGCTCAGTGTCTTTACACCAGTGTCAAGTCCCATTCATACTAAAAATTTAAGCATATTTATTTCCTCAAAGAATTTTGTAACCATGTTAACGTGTTAAATTATTGACTTAAGATACCAATACGCAAACATCCCTGCCTAATAATACATTAAGAGCCCTTTGGGACAGGAGAAAGAAACCAGGGAAATAATTGTCCTTATTCAACTGTATGTTTTCTGAGGGGTTTTTTTTTTGAGACAGTCTCACTCTGTCACCCAGGCTGGAGTGCAGTGGCACGATCTTGGGTCACTGCAACCTTGGCCTCCCAGGTTCAAGAAATTCTCCTGCCTCAGCCCCTCAAGTAGCTGGGATTACGGGCATGCACCATCACACCAGGCTAATTTTTGCATTTTTTTAGTAGAGACAGGGTTTCACCATGTTGGCCAGGCTGGTCTTGGACTCCTGACCTCAAGCAATCACCTGTCTTGGCCTCACAAAGTACTAGGATTACAGGTGTGAGTGACCACACCCAGCACACCCTGTCCATCTTTAAATTCCCCAGTGCCTAGCCTCATAGAAAGCTATTAGGGCCGGGCGCGGTGGCTCAAGCCTGTAATCCCAGCACTTTGGGAGGCCAAGGTGGGTGGATCACGAGGTCGAGAGACCGAGACCATCCTGGTCAACATGGTGAAACCCCATCTCTACTAAAAATACAAAAAATTAGCTGGGCATGGTAGCTCGTGCCTGTAATCCCAGCTACTCAGGAGGCTGAGGCAGGAGAATTGCCTGAACCCAGGAGGCAGAGGTTGAGGTGAGCCGAGATCGCGCCATTGCACTCCAGCCTGGGTAACAAGAGCGAAACTCCGTCTCAAAAAAAAAAAAAAGAAAGAAAGAAAGAAAGCTATTAGGAGGCTGAGGCACGCAAATCGCTTGAACCCAGGAGGTGGAGTTTGGAGTGGGCCAAGATCTCACCACTGCACTCCAGCCTGGGTGACACAACAAGACTCGGTCTCAAAAAAAAAAAAAAAAGTAGGTGCCCAATAAACATTGATTGATGATTCCAATCACTAAGGCAACTTGCTATTGCCCCAACTTGGCTCTCTTGTGCAGCCCAGAGAAGTTAAGAAACTTGCTCTAAGGCCAGGTGCGGTGACTCACACCTGTAATCCCAGCACTTTGGGAGGCAGAGGAGGTCATGGATCACTTGAAGTCAGGAGTTCAAGACCAGCTTGGCCAACATGTTAAAACCCTATCCCTACTAAAAACACAAAAATTAGCCAGGCCTGGTGGCGCACACCTGTAATTTCAGCTACTCAGGAGGTTGAGGCAAAAGAATCACTTGAACACCAGGGAGGCAGAGGTTGCAGAGAGTAGAGGTCACGCCACTGTACCCCAGCCTGAGCAACAGAGCAAGACCGCATCTCAAAATAATAATAATGATAAAACACCAAGAAATTTGCTCCAAGCCATGTATCTTGGAAGCAGAAGAGCCAGGACTGATTCTAAAGACATTTTTCCTCATACCAGTTATCTGTAGGGTAGAATCCAGATTGATAAGGTACATTCTGGAATTCAGACATTTCCTCATTTGTCCGCATCTCACCACCATGACCTCACCCAAAGTAATCCTCTGCCACAGTCAGATCATTCTCTGAAAGCCCTCACAAACTTTGTCCATTCAGGCAATGAATAAATCCTTGTCTACCGTCACATCCAAAAGGTGCAAATCTATAAATGACTTTTTCACAACTGGAAAAGTAATGGCAGGGGAATTCTCCTCTGCTTTTACCCCACACCCAGGGCCTCCAGCCAAAATCCACCAGAACACACCTGTAGTGAAAGTTGGGTTTATTGATTCGTTGCAATGAGGGACACATGCCATATGTAGGAGGGTGTTAAAGGGACTTATAGCAGTGTGTTAAGTGATTCTGGGGAGGGTTCAAGGAAATGGGACTTTGCTCTGATTGGAGGTTGCCAGGAAGCAGGGATGAGTCATGATTCCATGATCTACAGTACCTTAATTCGTGCCTAGAAAGCAAGAGTAAGGTAGCAAGCCTATAGCTGTCATTGATAAAGAAGTGGCAGCCACTCACTCCTATTATCCAGGAATATTTGGTGATAATTTTTGTGATTTGGACAATTTTTTTGTCTTATGTGACATGATCACACAGTGATCTTGTTTTTGCCTTGACCCCTCAGGTCACGAGAGTGGCCTTGTCTGATGTTAATGTTCTGTGAAATTATCTGTGTTTAACAAGAGTATAATGGCCAGCTGCTTTTCTTTTTCACACTTCCATTCCACTTTCTCTTTTTTAATTCTTTTTCAACTTTTATTTATTTATTTATTTATTTATTTATTTATTTATTTATTTTTGGTTTAGCTGCATGTCATCAGCATTTTTCAACTTTTATTTTAGAATCGGGGCACATGTGCAGATTTGTTACACAGGTATATTGTGTGCTGCTGAGGATTGTGGTATGATCGTAGTGAGTATAGTGCCCAATAGGTAGCTTTTTGCCCCTGCTCCCGGCTGTCTCTCGCCACCCCTCTCTCTCCCACCTCTAGCAGTCTGCATTGTCTGTTGTTCCCATCTTAATGTCCATGCATACCCAATGTTTAGCTCCTACTTAGAAGTGAGAGCATGCAGTAGTTGGTTTTCATGTCTCTTAGGACAATGGCCTCCAGCTGCATCCGTGATGCTGCAAAGGACCTGATTTCATTCTCTTTTAGGGCTGCATAATATTCCATGGTGTGTATATGCCACAATTTCTTTATCCACTCCACCTTTGAAGGGCATCTGGATTGATTCCATGTTTTCACTATTGCCTTCCCCCTTCTTGATGTTGCTGGTTTTAGGTTTTCCAAATTTGATGTACCCTGTCTCCACACCTCCCCACAGTCCTGTGTAAACCCCGAGTCTTCTAAAAAAGCCTGTCTTTCCTTTCACTGAATTTCTGCTTCTACCACACAATTAGCACTAATGTATATGGACATGCCCCCTAGAGGCTGAGCTTTCACGGAGAGGCCCAGGCATTTCTGGAGAGAGGGGACCAGCCTAGAAGAGTTGATGTGCATGAGGAGCCCAAGCAGCTCCAATTTGGTAACCAGTCAGGAAAGTGTGATAGGCGAAGCAGTGAAAGGCATTGCCCCTTCCTGAAGAACTCGGACACTGAGGGGTCTTTGGGAGTCTAGGGAACATGGTGCCATTTTGTACTCTGGCAAAGCCCCAAGCACAAACAGCACCTCCTTCAGGGGTGGCATGTGCCTGAGTGTCATGGGAGGCCACTCCAGCAGGAAGTAAGCCAAGGAAGAAAAACAGGGTGGGGCAAAGGCCTTGAAATCACTGAGTGAGTTTTACAGGGACCTGAGCCTATGGCAGAGGAGACATGGGTTATAACCACAGTGCAGTCCAGCATACAACGCAGACTGGTGAGGCTGAGAAAACGAAGGTTATGCTTTTTTTATTTTACAAGAGTACTCCTAAAAATTTTAATACACAACTCAGATATGGTGGTTCATGACTGTAGTCCCAACTTCTCAGGAGGCTGAGGGAGGAGGATGGCTTGAGCCCAAGAGTTCGAGGCTGCAGTGAGCCAAGATCACACCACTACACTCCAGCCTGGGCAAAAAAAAAAAAATTATGACACACACTCAGAATTTAAATAAATAATTATAGAAAGGTAATATATATAATAAAATATATATGAAAATATGTATCATATGTAATATAGAAAAAATATATATCATATATGTAATATTGATCTATATTGTTTCATATGTCATATATATTATATACATGATGCATATATTTTTTCTCCTCCTCTGTTCAATCATACTCTCTTGAAGTAACCACTATTAGCATGCCGGTATATATCATTCCATACTTTTTCTATGCTTACACAAGCACAGAATCACCTACTTAGGGTCTCATTTATGCTTTTAACAAAACATGGTCATATTCTTCATTATTATTCTACCACTTGCTTATGTTCACTTAACATGTCTTCTATAACTTCCCAAGTCAATACAGATAAATGTGGTTCATTCTATTTGATGACTGCATAGTATTCCATAGAATAGATGTACTAGAATGTATTCAATCAACCCATCACTAATCATGGATTTTGGTTAAGCTCACCAGCTTTATTAATTGTTTCATCTGGGCTAGTGCTGTTTTAGTTGTTATCTCCTAAATAACAAAGACCATACCATAAACACAAACTTACTTCTTAGAACTTCATTATTGCCTACACATCATACATTTAACATGACTTAAATATCCCTTTAATTTTGGAAATGCACATATCTTCTCATTTGCTAAAAGGAAGACAGTTCTTAGGATGATAGGCTGATATTTGGCACATTTACTAAGCAGGAGGAGAGAATTTTTTAAATTTCCTAATCCCACATGGTCTTTCTCCATGTCAACCTCCTTTCCGACAGGTGCATCATACTTTCCCATGGCACTGCCCTGGTATCTCTCCAGAAATCATTTAACTCTGCCTCCATACCGTAAAATGATTTCGGTTTCAGAGTGAGGCTGCCTACTCCTCATTTTAGGCGAATGAGTGCCTAATACTCATTTTAAAGATGAACAAAGCTAAGCATTCATAACTTAGTTACCTAGCAGAGGAGCTGAGGCTAGGACCTATCCAGGGCTCTCTCCATTGCAGGACACAGCTGCTCCAGGGCTGGGGAGTGGCTGGGGTACAGCACATAGGCGACGGTATTTTTATTTGTATAAATTATAAAGTAGGTTGTTAATATATAAAGTAGGTCGTTAATTTTTCTCAAAAACTGAACAGGTAGCTGATGGGTGCCACTTGCTAACCACCTGTTTGAAGAAGGAACTCTAGCCGCTGGACCTCAGATCT